AAAAAAAAAAAAAAAAAAAAAAAAAAAAAACACATCTTTGTAAAACCAATACCTTCTCAGCTTCGCATCGAAGCTAAAAATTACAAACAACTTTGTTCTTATAATTTTTTTTATCCAAACAACCGTTTACGTTTTATAATTGCTTAAAATTTTAACTTCCAGAAAAAATATTGTCATTTATAACGTTTCATAATATCGGTGGCAGTGCAACCAGTAATTTTGTTAGATCCTCCTTTAGTCTTACAAAACCATAGACTTAGCTATTAATAATACACCGAAAACCCGGTTTGAATCTATTATTGTTATCACTCATTAAGTGCGTAGTAAATTTTTATAGCTAATTTACCTGTCATAACTTGATCAATAAAATTTGGTTTATGCAACAGCAAATAAAAATAATGACTTCTGTATTTAATACAGTATTAAGATAATAGAAATTTGGCATAAAATCACTTAACTTTAACAAGCTGTAACGGACTAATGGTTAATCGGATAAAAAATATTATAGGAACAAAATTGTTTGTAATTTTTTTTTCTATCATATTATAAAGTTTAAAACAAGGGTTCCCAATTAAAGGAAATTATAAATAAGGGTTTTTATCCTTAAAGGGACGAAAAAAATAATGGTTTGACTACATATTATTGTAGAGTTTTTTGAACTTGATATTTTTTCTCTATAATAAAATTTAAAATTCTCAATATTTTCTGAGAAAATGAGTGTCTTACCAGATGTCGATCACTCTGTATATATAAATACTCTCGCCACAATGTCTAACAATAACAACAGACCGATTACTCCGATCAAAATTATTCATAAAAGCGTACAAAATTCATCGTCCCAATCGAATTCAAACAACAACTCAGTAAATGATGGCTGGACCTTACAGAGCAATAAAAGAAATCACTCCAGCTCCTCTTCTTCTGAACCGCCAAATTCACGTAAAGTACTTACTCAACCAATTAAAAAAAATTATTTTCATCATCAAATAGATTTGAAGTTTAAAAATAAATGATGATCATGACGATACTTAAAACACTAACACATTCTCAAACAACATGAAAAAAAACAACACAGAATCTACTACCAAACCCCCTCCTTCAATTTTTATAAAAGGCGTACAAGACTTTCCTGCACTATGCACAAATCTAATTGAGATACTTGGTGTTGAAAACTTTATTTGTAAGTCATCCACGGATCGATTAAAAATGCAAATTAGCACTCCTGATACATATAGGACATTAATTCACTTCTTCAAGGAGCAAAAAGTTGAATATCATACGTATCAACTGCAACAAGATAAACCTACTCGTGTAGTGATTCGCAATTTACACCCAACAACTCAAATTAGCTTAATTAAATCAGAACTGGAACTCCGTGAATTTGAAGTACGTAATGTCACTAATGTTCTTCATAAAGTCCACAAACATCAATTACCACTATTTTTCGTCGATCTGGAACCTACCCCTCAATCAAATGATATATATAAATTAACCTCCATGCTCCATACTAAAATAAAAGTCGAGGAACCTTACAAACCTAAGATAATAAGTCAATGATTTCCACCAATCATCTAACTCCTCAAACTCTCGTGATGATCCACCCACCAAATGTGCACTTTGTCAAGGAAACTACCCAGTCAACTATAAAGGCTGTTTAGTCTACAAAGAACTTCAACGCCGTAAGAAACCCTCTTCTAATAATGTATTTCTGTCAGATAACTCTAGGCTTAAGTCAAAAGTTAAAAGCTAGGACCTACCTAAAAAATTTAATATGGATTTTAATAATAAAATTTAATTTATTATCAATTGTAATTTATTACAATTAATAAGTTTATTAATCAATAGTAGAACTATCATATAACATTTTCATAATTTTATTTTAATTAATAATTTTTTTTTCAAAAAAAAATATTGAAAATGTTACTAATAAAAGAAGCTTGCTATTTATTAATATCAATTTTATATCTTTGTTTATAATTTAGTGAATAATGAAAATTATTATCCAATTCTTAACAAGAGTATGGATGAAGGTAAATATCAAAATAAATTTCATATATACATATAAGACTTTTAAATTATGATGTAATATACATTATTTTGGACCAGTATTTTAAAAGTAATCTACAATTTAAATTATAGACTGGAGGTGAAGTGTGGATGTTGTTATTTTTATATTTAAGATTTCCCGTTTATAATGTTCCTTTTACTTAAATATAAATATGTCAACAACATCCGAAATAATTACGTGATTGAATTGATGAAATGGGGCCAATAAAATTCAACCGTAACTCGAGGCAACTTATATCGTGCCGAATAATGAAGCTGAATAAATTAAAAGATATACATAATAAACCCGAACATTTAGTTTTTCTGCTGAAAACGTATGCTGATGAACGTATAGACCATGTACCTAAAAAGTATAGACTATTTGGTCACAATAGGCTAAAAGAACACAAAAAAATTTTCGGCGGAAATAAATTGTAAGTACCAGTTTTCCAAAATCAGTGATATGAGTGTAATGACTGTAACGCGCGGCGTTTCACACAATTAACAAATCGATATATTCTTTACGTTCTTCAGTGTACATTTTCAACAGAAAAACTAAATGTTCGGGTTTATTATGTATATCTATTAATTTTAATTCAAAAACATTAACTGAAATATGCGGATTATTTTCTTCGAAAATTTTTATATCTGAAATCCGTGTTGGGAATGATAAACCGGAGAAATCATAACAGTTTTCTATAGACTTATAGTTTTGTTCTAATAAATGTCTTTTACCTTCCGAAACTTGTTTTTGCTAATATAGCCCATTTGAAACATTGTTGATCTATGTTTTGCGGGTTTATTACAGCTCTTCTCATTTTAATGTTATGCGGCAAATCAGTGTATGAACTTTCGCCTGAAGGCTGATATTTTTAAACACCCAGTAAAATACTGTCTATATTAGAAAACGAGAAATAAACTACCTTTAATAAACTACACTGGTAAACTACCTTTGCCGGCATAGATTTCTTGTTCTTCTAATAACTTTGTGTATGAACTAATGTGTATCCACAGCATGACCAAAATCATTCTCGTTAATTAACTCGACTGTCGATGTTTTAAATGACCGAATTTCGTACTTGGCTTCATTATTTGGCACGATATAAGTCGCTTCGAGTTTAAGGTTGAATTTTATCGGCTCCATTTTATCAATATACTCACGCAATTTTTCAACTAACTCATCTCTTGTTGCCAACAAAAACGATCTGTTCGATCCATTTTTAACACCCTTATATTAGTTTCACGTGTATGTTGTTGTTTGTTGTTTGTCGTTTGTAAGTTTGTAACTCCACGCGGCACGTGTTATTATGTCGCGTATCCCGTCGTGTATGACCTTGAGACTATACTGTTGTAACGCATTCGCCCCACCCCGCTCAAAACTCGTAGACAACAATATTTTCTAACCCGTAGACGCGCGCGTGTCATCAATTATGTATATATATAACAAATTTTTATTGTAATTGACACGGCCCGCGTCGTTTCATTATACACAATGCCCCACGACTCGTGCCACCTTTATCAGCCGTCGCCCTATTATGAGTATTTGACTGACCAACACCTCGCGTTATACGCCGCTGTGCAAAGTCCAGCAAGCGCCGCACGCCCGACGACATTCCGCCGCAAATGATACCGTAGTCTTCTTCCCGTTGTCAAAGTGACAACGTCTACGATTCGATCCGCACTCGCGCGCCGTCGCTATCAACGCTGCTAACCTGTTGACGTCCGAGGAACACGCCGGACAACGCGTCGTCGATGCCAGCGAAAGTGCCGCGATATTATGCGAAGATTATATATTCCTACCGCCACCGCTAATATTAATATATATATATATATATATTAATATTTATACGTATATACGTATATGTTAATATTCATTTATATATTCCTACAGCCGACGCCTCTGCTGCCGTATATGCCTCGTGTATAATGTTCCCTCCGCCATGCCCGCCCACATAAACACGGCTATACCTCATGCATGATACGTTTACGTACTTAAGTCCCTTTAAATATATATATATTCTAATTACTATTAAAATTTATATATTAATACGCTTTATACTCATTAAGAGATATGTAGTATATTCATTCCGATTACGGGGGATGATTCCCGTATGTCATTTTTCGTCACTACCACCACGTTGCGCGCCTGCTACTTTCCTTGGATGTAATAGCCGTTTCTTAGACTCCCTCTCCGGAATCGAACCCTTATTTCCCGTTACCCGTTACAACCATGATATTGATATTAACTACTATCATAACATGAAACTAAAAAGTGAAAAATAAATATAGTTTAAAAAAACTAAAAAACACGCTTTTAAAGCACATCGAACTAAAAAGTTAAAAATAATTTTTAAAATTAACTTAAAACAATAATGAACGAAAAATACTAGTATTATTGTGAAAAAAAGCGTGGGTGCTTTATGCCATATTTTTTGTATATTGAGCGCCTGACGCTTTTTTTCACAATAATACTAGTATTTTTCGTTCATTATTGTTTTAAGTTAATTTTAAAAATTATTTTTAACTTTTTAGTTCGATGTACTTTAAAAGCGTGTTTTTTAGTTTTTTTAAACTATATTTTTTCTTTTGTATTATTATTGTATGAGATAATCGCGTTTACCCGGTGCGTACCGGTTTCTTTTATTGTATTTATAGTAGTCGAACAATGAACTCGACATCGCAAAGGACGGCACAACGCGCACGCCAACATGTGTATACAAAATAAAGTATTATAAACCAAGTTAAAGCTTTTATGTTTTATCTCGTTCTTATTAAGTAAATAGTTAAAAGTAAAAAAATTATACAGTCCACATCTGAGACCGAAACACGATCGATGCCTGGCTACGTTTTCAATATTCATTTTGTAGAATCATACAATTTGGCTATTTAATGATTCACTCGTTTTATGAAAACCGCTCATCGTAATATCATATGTAATCGTTTAGCTTAAGCTGTATTGTTTTTACAAAGAACACGTCGTTTAATTGAACTCGGACCTGCTTGCATTCTTGCCATAATACTTTCATTTTTTAAAACAAATATTCATGTATTTTTTTTATAAATTGAATCAGCATGATTTGCTATAGTAATATTATAGTCAACACTATACTTTACAAAATCTTAAATAATACACATCTATTAACACATTCATAATATATTTTGTCTTTTAATAATACTATTTTATTAAATAATAATTATACTACTTATGGTGTATCTTTTGAACATAGCGTACAAGTCCGCGTTTGTCCGAAAAAGTAGATGGACATAAATAACGATTAAATCGTATACCATCAGATTTTCCTATGCCTTATCAAACAGTTTTTATGCAACGTGTACTTTAGGCTTCTAATAGATATCAATTAATGGTAAAGTAGTAACGTTTAAAAAAAAAATAATTATGTAATTTCACAATGTAACTTCATTAAACCGGGAGTTAAATATCCCAGAGTTATCTAAGAAAAGTCTTTCAGACTGCCTTTAAAAACTTAAGTATTGAAGAACGTTACATATCTCAGAACATAGACTTATAAATGGATAAGCTAGGAACGAGTGATAAGTCGTGAAGCTAACATGACCATATATAAAGAGATATTGCAGAAATAATACATTTTATTGTATTACTTTATTTGTTTACAAGCTTTTTTAACACGCTTATATTAGTTTCACCTGTATGTATGTTTGTAATTCTCCATGCGCTACTTGTTATTATTTTCGCGTATCCCGTCGTCTATAGTCTTGAGACTAGACTATCGTAACGCATTCATTTTTTTTACATTTTATTAAAAATATTAATTATTTTTAAATTTTAAATAAAATGTAAAAAAAAAATCTAAGATAGCTATTTTGTAGAGTAGAATTTAAGAAAAATTTTGGTAAAAAAATATCTTATTAATATTGAGTAGTAAATATTCTGTAGCGTTTTGAAGTTTGTGAAAATTTGAATTTTCATGTATTATTTTACGGTATTAAACATTGAAATACGTATTGAGAAAAGGACAGAAGAAAACGCTATCTTTTCATGATTACTGTGTATACATATGATGATAATGTGTATACATTACAAACTTGGCATTAATACCATGATAAGAAATTAGATAAGGCAATTATTACTTATCACTCTCATTCAAAAGTATATTGAAAAGATAGCGTTTTCTTCTGTCCTTTTCTCAATACGTATTTCAATGTTTAATACCGTAAAATAGTACATGAAAATTCAAATTTTCACAAACTTCAAAACGCTACAGAATATTTACTACTGAATATTAATAAGATATTTTTTTACTAAAATTTTTCTTAAATTCTACTCTACAAAATAGCTATCTTAGATTTTTTTTTTACATTTTATTTAAAATTTAAAAATATTTATTATTTTTAATAAAATGTAAAAAAATTAATTATTGAGATATAGCTATAGACCTAACGTATAACTATTATTTAAAAAAAAATCAACTAAAAATATTAACTGGATCAAAAGTTATTTAAGTTGTCAGTGAGTGGTGGGCCACCTGTATAAACAAATTTTTATTGTTTATTATAAGATAAAAAAATTTAATGATTCAATTTTTTTTTTGAGTTAATATACATGTATAATATATAAGGGAATACAAATACAGGTAGCTAATTGGTTTTTTATGACGATATTCGCAGGTATATAGCCTTTATTATCAATGGTCATAAGACACATTGTTGTGAGTTTTTAAACACACTAACTGGCAATAGAAATTATATTTATTGATAGTCATAATTTACAATAAACACTGAGTGACTGTGACAGCGATATCATAAAAACCAAAAAGTAAAAAATAAATACAGTTTTCTTTTTAACTATATTTATTAAGAAGCTCTATGTATGATTTTCAAATGATCATATAGAATTAATGCACAAAAAGTAAATCTTTATGTAAAGCAACAAACATAATACTAATAGTCTTTTTTATATAATTAACTAACTTTACATTGTATCCTACTTTTCTATGTAATTATTTTGTAACACTTCATATATTTATGTCTCTATTTATTATTTATGTATTTCAGAGTTCAATGAAAATTTAAATGTATCACCTAGTGAAAGTATTAAAGAAGGTACACTTGAAATAATTTCAAATTTTAATTTTAATGTTCTAAAGTGTTCGTTTTTATAAAATATTATTAACACTCTTAAAAAAATGCTTGAATTTTCATATACATAAATAAGAAACTTTTAACGCGTAAAATGTAAGGGAAAATGTAGATAAATAGTTATAAAATTATATATTTGTGTAAGAATTTTCATACTTTATGTTAAAATTACACAAGAAGATATAAAAATTAAAAAAATGTTTACAGAACATATATATTTTAGAATTACATAATTAAATTATTTATTTTTCTACAGGATCAAGTACACAATCCAAAGCTAAAGATTCTGAAGATTCTGTACTAATCAAATTACCTGAACATTTACGTCATTTTAATAGTTACCTGCATTAATTGTTCTTTATATGTTTAAAATTTACAACTTAAATTTTGATAGCACATACTGAGAATAATAATCAAAAATCTAGTTTTTGAACATTTTATAAGCACATTAAGTTTTTATGTACAATGATTATAAAAGATTTGTACTAAACCACTTAAACACGATTTCAATTATATTTTTATTTTTGATTTTAATAAATTCTGATAAAATATACGTTAATTTATATAAAAAGATAACCAAACGGTTTATATTTCATTTTTAGTTATGCATTTTAATTAGAGGTCGCGATTGTGAACGGGTATTAGAATACACGGACACACGGAGTTCGGGTACACGGGCAAAACATATATTAAAGCCCGTGTATAATACCCGTGTATTTAATACTCATGCATACATTGTACATATACAGGGTGATTTTTTTATCATAACCCACTCAATTACTTGCAGAATAATAATAATTTAAACATTTTTTTTTTTTATTATTTTTAGTTACACATTATTCTTGAATTTTTAACTATGTAATACTTTTTAAGTTCATCCCTTATGCCTTGGAGGGGGGTCAACTTTGATTTTTTAAATGGTAACACATATTTTTAATTTAATAAAATGTTTGAGTTTTTAATTTAATAGTAAATGGCATTTGAATTTTTAATATAACTTTATTAGCTTATTAGATATAAACATTTTAAGTTTCAAAATTTTGAGTTAATATACATGTATAATACACATGGGATTGTAAATACAGGTAGCTAATTGGATTTTTATGACATTGCTGTCTCAGTCACGGATTGTTTATTATCAATTATGATTATCAATAGATATACTTTCTGTATTGTCAGTTAGTGTATTTATAAACTCATAACAATGTGCCTTACTACAATTGATAATAACAATGCTGTGTACCTGCTAATATCGATGTTATAAAAATCCAATTAGCTACCTGTATTTACAATCCCATGTGTATTATACATGTATATTAACTCAAAATTTTGAAACTTTAAATGTTTATATCTAATAAGCTAATAAAGTTATATTAAAAATTCAAATGCCATTTACTATTAAATTAAAAACTCAAACATTTTATTAAATTAAAAATATGTGTTACCATTTAAAAAAACAAAGTTGACCCCCCTCCAAGGCATAAGGGATGAACTTAAAAAGTATTACATAGTTAAAAATTCAAGAATAATGTGTAACTAAAAATAATAAAAAAAAAAAAATGTTTAAATTATTATTATTCTGCAAGTAATTGAGTGGGTTATGATAAAAAAATCACCCTGTATATGTATTATATTAAATATATGAGTATTTAAGGTCACGGGTATTTAAATGCCCAGGTATACACGGATATTTTTTTAACCCCGTCATTGGTAAAAACACGAGTACCCGTGTAGTTCATTACACGTGTAATCGCGACCTCTAATTCTAATACATATCCAAAGTACACGAGTTATAGCTCGTCCTATGTACGGCGAACACCACACGCAATATAATTAAGCGCCACAAGTGAAACAACCGAAGTAAATAATTAAATATTATTATAATAATATTTAAATAGCGTTAATTCAATCAGTTAGGTATGGGTAAAAACTAAACAGCACCAAAAAAAAAAAAACAAAATAGCATACCAGTTAGGGTGTACGTCGGAAACGAAACAGAACGCAATATCCATAATCCATAATCCATACGTAAACCGTAATCCGTAATCATTATCTTGGTGTCAATGGCGGGGAAACACCCGATGACAATCCATTGTCATATTAATAGCTAGACGACTGATATCGAGAGAGACACGGGTGAGCGCCAGCCGGGAGATTATCGTTTCCGCCAAACCTGAATAAAGTCGCTTTTTCGTTTCCGCCAAACTAATCTTCTACCTGTCTATCTACTAAAAAATTTGAGAACCATTTAGTTTAATCTATGGGTCACCACGACGAACCTGTATCGGTTTTAGCATACGGGCAAGTTAGATAGTTGCCAGTACCAAATTGTTTGGCTTTTATTGAATGTTACGTTCAGGCCTGTATTTAAGATTTTTGCGTGGGGTATTAATATTAATGAGCAAAATAAAGTAATTTTTTGTCCTATCACTATCAAATGACATTTGCTCCCAAGAATTTTTGACCCCCTTAACCACCTCTAAATATGGTCTCGTCGTTTTAAATAATTACTTATTTTATCACATAGGCATAACTTTATAAAGAAAATATGACGTTTTACCTACGGTAAATAAATTCTAATAGATAATTATCTTAAGTATGTATATATTTATTTGTAATGAATAATAAAAATATAGTTTATAAGAAAATAAAAAGTCTTCAAAACATTAAAATAAAATTCAAACATTAACAATAAGGTTAAAAAGTATCTAATACCTGTAACAATATAATCAAAAATAGATCTATAAATTTTTCGATAGTTGTTGAAAACTACTAATTTCACAAATTCAAATCGTCTAATTTCATTGTTATTAAATTTATCACTTGTCTCTTTTAGCTTCGATGCGAAGCTGAGAAGGTATTGGTTTTACTAAGATGTGTTTATTTATTTATTTTTTTTTTTGTGTCTGTTACCATTTTTTCTCAGCTCTCACCGAACCAATTTCTTTCAATGATACGTCAAAAGATCACAAATTGTATCTAGTCGAAGACATTACCCTCAAAAATTGAAAAAAATGCCCTCGTTCCCCGTAAATGGGGGAAACCTCCAAAAAAATTACAAATTTAAAAATCGCTAATTTTCGAAATTTTTTCAATTTTTTTTACTTAAAAGTGCCATAACTTTTTCAAAAATAAACAAATCAATATAATTCTTTTTTATATAGATGCATAATATCATTACCTTTCATTTGGTATATTTTTTTTTTATATGTGACCCTTTACTTGCCCACAGAGGGGGATTTAAAATGACAACCTTTACACAAAAAAATTAATTTTTTCAACATAACTTTTGAAAATGTTCCGGAAGGTCTGACACTTTTATATATATCTTAAATTAAAGCTAATGTAATATGCTTTATCATGAAAAAAAAAAATTTCGGACTTTATTTTATCTTCACGGTGAAAATGGCTACCGAATGCTATTTTTGTGTGAAAATTTTCGATTTTGTATTTTACATTTTTAACTTTATTATGCTATAACTTTTTGAAAAATGTATGAATCAGTACAATTTTTTCATGAGGAGTAGTATTTATATACATATTTCATTCGACATACTGTTTTTTTAAATCGGACCATTTCCCTATATACGAGGGGGGTTCAAATCTAAAAAATGCATGTAGAAAGTAGAACTTTTTCAACTTAAATTTTGAAAGTGTTCCGGAAAGTCTGACACTTTTATATATATCTTAAATTAAAGCTAATGTAATTTACTTTATTATGCAAAAAAAAAATTTCGGACTTTATTTTATCTTCACGGTGAAAATGGCTACCGAATGCTATTATTGTGTGAAAATTCTCGATTTTATTTTTTACATTTTTAACTTTATAATGCTATGACATATTGAAAAGTGTATGGATCAACATTATTTTTTTATGAGAAATAATATTTTTTAATAATCCCTTTTTCATTCTACATACTTTATCTTAATTAGGATATTAAAAATGAACTAGCAGATCATGTAGCTTTTGGAATAGTCCACCAATTTTTTAAAATAATACAGTATCTAAAGATTTGCATCGAAGCGTTTTTTTTTGATAGTGATTTTAATCACTGTCAGATATCATTATACTTGATCCATCTATACCACGTCACCACTGTGCCTGGACCCCCCTGTGCTTTGTTTTTCTGAAACGGATTTCAAATTTATTCCGTTCTCTTTTTAAGACTGCATTATCAAAACTATATATTTTAATGTAATTATAAGACTAAATATTTGTTATTAAAATTAAAAAAAATGTATTAATAGAAGGATGCGCCTTAAAAAATTGTTCATTAAAATGTGAATGAAATGATTCACAATTATCAATGCACTGCTATCTAATAACAATAAAAAAATAGTAAAAAGTTCGATTAAATGAATAGTAGATAATTATTATCGGGTTATTTTGGCATATATTTTAACCAGTGGTTCTCAAGCTTCTATTTATAGACAGGTATAAACTATCGGTTTGGCGGAAACGAAAAACCTACCTTAATCAGATTTGGCGGAAATGATGAACGCCCCGCCAGCCTAGTATAGCCTAAGGCGGTATCGTGTCAATTTACTTAAAACTATAAATCGATCCATTTACGCTTTGAATAGTATCTAAATAGCTAAATCTAAGAAAAAACCTATTTCAATAATAATACTGAACTGCATTTGTTATATTTAAATTAGACGACTTCAAAACATTTTTAAAATGAAATAACAAAGAAGGGGTAAGAATTTTTTAAACTGAGTTACAAACATTTAAATGTATGAGTAATTATTCATGTTATTTACAAATATCTAAAGAGAAGTCTTTATTTGTGTGGCAAGTTGAATTTTTAAGCATAGTGTGTAATTTAATATTATAATTGTTGTAACTATGTTTACTGTGGGAACGTAAGCCATTTTAACAATGTATATGATATCTGTTGAGCAAGCGCCATGATATTTCAAAAACATGATTCTTGCTCAGCCCTTTATTATTGTATGGGACTATGGCCGTTGCCAGTCACGATACCTCAAGAGGCAGTTGATGAGTTAATATCATAGAGTTAGGTTTATATCATTCACTGAATCAATTCACTATTTATTTGTATCAGATTGGTTAGATTGGGTGTGGAATTTTATAAAATAATATCAATTTTTTACATAGAAAAGTTTATAAATTATTGTACAATTATTATTATACCTATTCATAATTGTTCGCGCCAAGTGTGAGAACTGCACTGATTGGGTGTAGTCAGGTGGTAGTGCTTGTGCGCTATCACCTGTTAAGACGCCTTATCAGCTTATTACCGTGTTGTTCGGTCGGTTTTTTATTCAAAATGAAGTGTGTACCGGTTGTTATTATTATACATTTTAGTTTTTAAGTTACATTGTTTTTTCATTTGAAGTAATTGTTGTTTTGGTATTAATCAGTAAAAACTT